GGGAGAGAGAGAAGCAGATTTCCCCCCTTGCTTCAGATCAGCGCCCAATTGGCCGGGAGCTCCGTCCTCTCTCTGCCAGCGGTCGCTCTCAGGAGGTGCAGGAAGCAGGGGCCCGAGCCGGCGGCACTAGCGGGGCTGCCATCCCCGGCCTCCCCTCCACCAGCCTGAGTCACTTTCTCCTGCAGCTCGCTTCTCGTTCGCAGGGAAACTGCACGTCCTGGCAGCCTGGAAGCTAGGTACAAGCCCTCCCTGTGTGCTCCCCCTTCCACAATGGTCGCTTCACATCGCACCCACAGACAAAGGGCAGCTGTCATGAACACAGGCCAAAGGACTTTTCATGACTGATGAAAAGGTACTTGTTAGAGTCCTGATGTTCCAGGGGCTCTTCTCCCACTCATTTTCTACACACACTCCCACACCCACACCCCGCTAATGCTTTGGCCACTGCCTTCAGCCCATGACTGCCTCTTTGAGGTATCACTGCCACCAGTACCACCACCAGCCAGACCTGTCACCAAGACACAGACACCAAGCCCTGCATAGCGCCCGTGGGTGTTGGACATAGAAGGTGAGCCATTCAAAACCAGAATGCAACTGCTCCCTATGCACACCCAGCTGGATGCCCCTTCCTCACCCTGGGACAAGAAAGGGGTCAATCTTCACAGTATCTAAGTCACTGCAAACACACAGAGTCAGGCAACAAGCCCACCAGACCACCATCAGATTACAACAACGGGTCAGGATGTCAGACTGGGAAGGAGGTCCAAGCACCCCACCTGGCAGACACACATTTTGAAATTCTTCTTTGCAGACAAGCAATCTCCTGGAGGGCAAAAGCAGGGTTCTCAGCCTCCCCTGGGGGAAGCATCACCATAATTTCCCCTTTCCCTGTCCCAGAGAATGGTGCCAAGCTACTAGCTCAGTTCACATCCCTGCAGAAACCTTGTGCACTTATATCCTGGAGTCCTGTCCTCGGTACACTCAAGGCCACCCTGACCCCCTTCAGTACACGTAGACCTTGGGGGGCTGGGGTCCACAGCAGTGTGAAAGGCAGGGGACCCAGCTCCTGCCTGGGACCCTGCCTGTCCCCAATGCCTGGGCACGAAGGGGGCCTGGGGGAATAGGCAAGAGAGGCTGGGGACACCCATGCACGGTGCGCTGTGACAGGGACATCATCCTTCTGCGAAAAGACAGAGGCGGCGGAGGTGCTATCGTCGAGGGGCCTCCCTCCCTTGGCTGCCCCCCCCCCCCTAAAAAAAAACGGCTGCCAGTCAGGAAAAGACAGAGCAAGGAACCTCCCGATTAGTGCAGAACACGGCCCGGGTCCCACCTACTGCCTGCTTCGGTAAGAGGAGTGGGGGAGAGAAAGCATTCTTAAAGGGCCAGCGCAGCAAAACGCTAGACAGGTGGATTCCCTACGTCCACAAACCAATACCTGCTGGATGTACTCATTCCCCGAGGGCTTCTGACGGTGCCACCAGCAGGTTCTGGTAACCTCGACGCTGTGATGTGCCCTGTCCCCATCCCAGGCAGGGCCCAGGCCAGCACACCTGGGTGACAAACATCGCCACTGGCAACACAGGGTGCTGCACCCCCGGGAATGGGTTTGATACTGCTGCGCTGTCTCAGAAGAAGCCCTCTGTGAAGCTTGCATGGTCTGGGATGACGTACCTGACCTGAGGTGTCTCAGTCACCAAGGAGCTGGAGCAAGGGACAGGTTCCACAAGGGGGATCCTGCTGCTGCTTGGGTCTGCCAAAGCCTGGGATGGAGATGGTGGCAAGGCAGGAAAGCAATGGGATGTCTAGGATAGAGGAGATGTCCCTCTTCCAGAGGGCCAGAGCTCATCTGTGGAAAAGTTCTAACCCAGACAACCCAGGGAGGTGAGGGATCACTGGAGATCCTGCAAGGCAGGATCCCTCAGGGCAGGGCATGCCATCTGCCACAGGCAGGGCCAGCACCATCCCCACTGTATCTGCTTTAGGGTCTGGTTGTTGCCCTGCAGAGCAAAGAGGTATAAAGCCTTTGCAGGCTTGACATGGTCCGTGGCATTAGGCTGGATCTTCTGTCACTACAGAGACTGCAAATCCAGGGCCCAGTGCCAGCACAGCTGGCTAGTGCCTTCCCAGTGTAGTACTGGGGAGTACAAGGGAGCCATGGCCAGGGCTTGGGTTACCACCTGCTCATTATCACCTCCTTCCAAATCATTTACTGTCCCCAGCCACAGAGGCAGAGGACTCTTTGGTGCAGAGGACATCTTTGTCCCCAGCTGTAGCACAGCCCACACAGTGCAGAGGAACACTTGCTCCTGCAGCTGCTGCAGCCATGCCAGGAATCAGAAGTGCTGAGTCTGAACAGCAACACAAGGAAGGGGGAGAGAAATAAAAAAACCATAAAAATAATTCTGAGAGGTTTCTGCCTCCGTCTGTGATTTGGCTGCAGCAAGCAGGTGGCACACACAGCCCCACGCCCATGCACAGCTTCCGCTGCACCTCACTTCCTTCTGCTGCAAGGAACTAGTCACTCCTACTCCCAGCCTCCCGAGAAAGGACACATTAGTGGCACCAACCGCCTCGGAAACCCATCAGATGCCCCCCCGATTCCACTGGATCCACCACCCAGCCTCATCATAGAGATCAAAGCACTGCTATAATTGAAAGCTCTCAAATTAAGATGCACAATTCCCACTGGGGAAGAAGCACAGAAGCTGCCTGCCATGCGCAAATGCCTTCCTGGCTGCCGTTTCTTCAGTCAGGATATTAGACATCACCCAGAGATAGCATGTTACAAATCATGCAGGGCTTGTAATAGGATTGTTAAAACAACACCTGTGTGGAAGACTCACCATCCTGCTCAGAGCTACAGCCCAGCTTGATGGAGCCCTGCAAGCTATTGGGACAGCTTGCAATGCCACCCCCTAACACTGAAGCCAACATCAGCGCAAAACTTCTACAGAAACAAAACAGGAACCATCAGGAGTCAAACATGAAGTGAGAACGGGCAGGAAGGACTACTCCGTGGCCACAGTCCACCAGACAGAGAAGCCAGCATCGTCCTTCAGCTTTGCATGCTACACCGTGGTCCCCCACTGGGATGGTGGCTCCCAGCCCCATTTGGACCACCACCTCCTCAGCCCACACCAGGGCATGACGCAGAGAGGCTGTGTTCCCTTCCCAGCCCCTGACCTGACGAAGTATTCCCCTTGGCTCTCATTTTGCAAAGGGAAGGATATACCATTAGCAGCAAACTTTCTGCAAAGGATTTGCAAATTGTTGCAAGCTGACCTCAGCCTCCACCAGTTACTCATGCAACGCGTACCCAAAACTGCATCTGAAAGACCTGTGTTTGCTCACCTGAGCAAACTGACTCACTTGATCCTGCTCACCACAGTGCAAATGTCATTCACTCTTAAGATAGCTCATTTGACTCCAGAGAAGACCTGTTCAGCTACTGCTAACCACTCTTCAGAGGTGTGGCGCAACTGGATATTCCCCCCAACCCCAATCCACTGCCATATGCATATGGCACATGGCTCTGTCCAGCACTGGGACATGCCAAGGAAGGAGCTACATTACCTCAGCAGGTGTGGGGAGACGGCTGGCAGTGCCCACGATCTGGTGGTACAACCCTGGCTCACCATTCCTTAAGGTGCTCTGGTGGCTCCCCAGAGGGCTGGAAGCGAAGGGCTTTTTACACAGGACATCACTCTGGCGAGAGTCTGTGGTGAGATAGACCTGGTGGTACAAGTTGGGTGGCATGAAACCACCCCGCACGGCATCAATGTGGTGGAAGGGCCCAGGTGTCCTGTACAGGGTGCTCCTGGAACTGTTGTACAGCTCCTTGGACTGTCTCCACTTGTAGCATTTGAAAATGCCTACTGACAACATGGTGATGAAGAAAGCTGCTGACACCAAAATCACAGCCAGGATGAGATAGAAGGTCACATGCCTCTTGGGATCGTTGACAGGTGACACTTCAGTGAGGTCAGTGAGCACCTCCTTGACCACCTCAGCCACAGAGATGGAGACAGTGGCAGTGGCAGACAGCACAGGCTCCCCATGGTCTTTGAGCAGGATGACTAGCGTGTGCTGCAGAGCATCATCCTCCTGGAGCTGGCGGGCTGTGAAGATCTCCCCGTTGTGCAGCCCAACTGAGAAAAGGCTGGGGTCAGTGGCCTGCAACAGGGTATATGAGATCCAGGCATTGTACCCTGCATCTGCATCCACCGCCACCACCTTGGTGACCATGTGCCCAGCAGGAGTGCCTGGTGCCACCACCTCAGTATAGGTGGCATTGGTGTTTGGGTGAGGGTACAGCACAGTTGGGGCATTGTCATTGAGGTCAGTGACAAACACACTGATCGAGACATTAGTGGCCAGAGGTGGAGAGCCACCATCCTGGACCTGCACCGTCATGCTGAACTCCACCTGGTCCTCATGGTCCAGGGAGGTGAGCAAGTAGAGGGTGCCATTCTCCCGGTTGATAGAGAAGAGGTGGCCTACATTGGAGTCACCCTGCAAGAGGGCATAGGAGAGATGGGCATTGCGCCCAAGGTCTGGGTCTGTGGCACTGACATTAAGGATGGGAATGCCAGGCATGTTGTTCTCCAGCACATACACATCGTATGAGTCCTGGGAAGACTTGGGCGCATTGTCATTGACATCTGATACCTGCACGAGTATCTGTTTTACCACAGACAAGGGTGGTGAGCCTGAATCCTTGGCTGTGACAGTGATGTTATACTCCGATGCCTTTTCCCGGTCTAGAGCTGCTTTTGTTTTCAATGTGTAGTAATTTCTGAGGGAGGAGCTGAGCATGAACGGGATCACAGGGGAAATGAAGCAGTTCACCAGACCGTTGTCATGTGAGTCCAAGTCGGTTACACTCAGCAGAGCTACGACCGTCCCTGGGGCTGCATCTTCAGGCACAGGGCTGTACACAGAAGTCACTGTCACCTCTGGGACATTGTCATTCACATCCAAAACTTCCACCAGCACTTTGCAATGAGCCACACCAGGAACAGCACCCTTGTCTTTAGCCTGTAAGTAAATCTCGTACAGCTTTGTTTCTTCATAGTCCAGCTGTCCCTTGACCCTCAACTCCCCTGTGGCCAAGTCCAGAGCAAAGAGTTCTCGTACCTTGGCGGGTGTGTGGCTGCTGAAGGAATAGATGATGTCTCCATTGGGCCCATCATCAAGATCATACGCACTGATCCTGGCAACCAGGGTACCACTGGGCGTGTTCTCCCTCACACTTGCTTTGTAGGTGGACTGGTTGAAGACTGGGGCATTATCATTGGCATCCACGACATCAATGTGGATCTGCACATGGGCCGACCGTGGCGGGCTGCCTCCATCCAGTGCGGTCAAGACCAAGTGCAACTCCCGTTGCTCCTCCCTGTCTAGCTCTTTTTCTAGCACCAGCTCCGCATACTTGCTGCCATCCACCCTCGTCTGCACGTCGAGCGCAAAGTGGGGATTGAGGCTGAGCTGGTAGGTCTGCAAAGAGTTAATCCCCACATCGGGGTCTTGCGCGCTCTCTAGCGGGAAGCGAGCTCCGGCGGCCACCGACTCGCTGATTTCCAGCCTC